AGAATCCTCATGGAGACATGGTCCGACCCTTTTCAGGCCTCTACTACTTTCGGATATACCACAAGGTTCACATTCGATCGACTCACTTCTTAGACTTGAAACGTGAATTCCCGACAACACTCTTCGTACCTCACTCATCTTGATAGAATCCATCGAGAACCCTAACCTTGTAGATACACCAGTTGGAACCCACTAGCTACACGAGAAGGAATCCGCATCCCGTACGCGAGGGTCTGTTGAAATGACAAACACAGACCAGATATCACTTGGGGATGCAAGGACAACCACATAGGGAGTACTCTCTTACCTCTACTTGGCCATTCATACCTACTTCCTTGCCTAGATCTGAATTTCGGGACGAAATTCCCTCTAACGGGGGGATAATGTGACAACCCAAGTTGTCCCGTTACGTTTCTCCGTTACCGCTAACGGAATATTCCACTGTTCAAAAGTTCCGTTAATTAGAGGGCGTCAGTTTAATAAACATTTCAGTTGTGTATGTTTATATGCCGTTAAGTCGTGATAAAAGGAAATAAAATACATAGCACATATTTCCATTTACTTGGAAAATATTAGTTTATTATTACGACCACTAAATCGGGTGCGACCAAAAGCCCCGTTTAACGGCAGTATCGGGTAGAATTCCACTGTGCCCCGACTCAAAACCCTATATAAGGGTGAGTGGAGTCTATTGGAGACTTTTTACACTCTCTCTCTCTATACTCTCTCTCTAGACCCGTTTTCGCCGCGAATCCGCAACCAAACGATTCCAAATTGTAAGTCCGCTTACCCTAGCTAATTCTAAACATAGTGATTTATGTTTATAGCCCAAAAATCATCCAAGAAGGCATGTAATAAGGAGTTTATGGCCCAGGAACATTCTAGGGCCGTAAACCCCTAAAAAGGTGCCAAACATGCCTCTAAACTTGTCCATAAGCTTGGAAATAATTAGGGGATATAGCCTTGGGGTGTTTAAACATTAAAATGCATGATTTTAGGACTCAAACAAGAGTTTACAGTCCAAGCACAAGCTTAGGCCGTAAACTCCTCAAAATCATGTTAAAAGGTCCCAAATGCACTCCAAACTCATCCTAGGGCTTCATACATAATTTAGGGACTTGGTATTTGGGTTTAGATCACTAAAACACACCAAAATGAAGGACAAAAGAGAGTTTACGGCCCAAGAACAAGTTTAGGCCGTAAACTCCCCAAACATGCCCAAAATATTGGTTTTAATCACCCAAAATAGCATCAAACTTCATTAGAAATCACTAGAAAGGCATTAGGGGCTTGAAACATCACCAAACTCAATGATCTAGAGTTTACGGCCGTAAACTCCTTTAGGAGTTGTTCTTAGGCCGTAAACTCCATTATAAGGCCCTTAAGAACCTCAAATCCACTCATGCCTTTTATGAAAAGTCCTTAGAAAAATCCCATAAACAAGCTAGAAGCATCAAACATCCAAGGATAGAACCTTGGGAGTTTACGGCCGTAAACTCCCTTAGGTTGGGCCATAAACTCCTTGTTTGGTCAATGTTGGTGTCTTAAATTCATTTACACACTTGATATGTGAGTATAGCAAAGTCCCACAACTGATAAGAGACCCTTAGCACCCGTAAATGCTACCCGGGACCCCAAACACTCAACCAAACGTGTTTTCCACTCCTTTGAGTGTGTATAAGTGTTTAATTAGTATTTTATATGCTAATTGTATGTGAACATATGTTATCATATGTTATATAGGTCATTGAGTGTGTTCGAGTCCTTACGTGGCACCGAACGCCCAAACAGCACTCTCGTTGGACCTACTTACACCAAGTGAGTTCATACCCCTGAATGAACCTTTTAAATGCTTTTAAATGTTTTACAGGGAGGGAATACAAGTTAAACATGCCAGTTATCATGTCAATCGCATATGATTGATAACCCGCATGCACAAGATTTTACCACTTTTACACTGTTTTACCGAGTAGGACACTAAAATGACTTTTACCTGTTTCATAACTTTTACTTATACTGATTTGTTCAAATTAATCCTAAATTGGTTTATGAAAGATCCTCTAAGGTTTTAAACGTATTTTACAAAAGAATACCATTTGTGATTTTCTCTGTACATAAAGGCTTTTCATTAAAGATTTCCCTTTTTGACTTCTACTTTTACTTGTTAAACACTGCTGCTTCACTTATACTTATTTTATACTCTGACTCGGTAACACTTTCACTTATACCTATAGTCGCTTATACTTGATGACGCTTATACTTATTCACGCTCTTACTTAGTGATACGATTTCTCCTTCACTTATACTGGATAACGACTTTACTCCACTTATACTTGATAGACGTTCTTACATCACTTATTGTCGTCTCGGCTTCGTGATACACTAATACTTGGTACGCTTATACTTCATGGTTCGATTATCCCACACTGTACACGTATACTTCACGACTCGGATGTTCCACTGTACTCTTATACTTCACGACTTAGATGTTTCACTGTACTCTTATACTTCACGACTCAGATGTTCTACTGTACACTTATACTTCACGACTCAGATGTTCCACTGTAAACTTATACTTCACCGTATGATACACACTCAAGCGTAGTTAGATGTATGTTTATGCTTGTATAGATGCATATAAATAATGATTGAAGGACTTAGGAAGGCTTGTCCGCCCTATTTCCTTTTCTTCGTTGAGATGTGGTCTGGTGGGATCGGATGTCCATCTGAAGGTCGTTCGATTCATTAGTTATATATATTACGTATACGAGCATAAATATACGAGTTTTCTTCAGTCAATTCAGTTAAGAGTCTATACCTCTAGTCTACACTTACATAAGAAACCCACTCCCTCCTAGTAACACACTATCCTCTATTTGGGATGCATCTTCGAGATGCGGCCTTCTCCGTCGTCTAGTTGGTAACCAGAGTCTCCTGTAGGGAGAGCGGACATTGTGTGTATAGGCCTATACGGGATTGACAACCCCGCACCCTGACTGCTAGCTACAGTCCACGGCCTACCAAGCCAAGGGGTGACAAATATCACATTATATAGATGCTTGTAGGGCGTCTAGTACTCTAGTCAGTATGGTTACGAGTATCCTGGGTTGCCTTATAATTCATGGCTTTAAGGTAACAGTATTTCGTCAGCGATTTACACTGTATGCTGATGTCACCTTTTTCAGAGTCACACTGTTTTGACCTTGCTAGATGTATCTTTCATTTGATACCGTCTGGGGTCTGTTATCTCTGTTTGACCTTACAAGATGTATCTTTCGTTTGATACCGTCTGGGGTCTGTTATCTCAGTTTGACCTTACAAGATGTACCTTTCATATGGTATCGTCTGTGGTCTGTCTTCACTGTTTTGACCTTGCGAGATGTACCTTTCATTTGGTATCGTCTGGGGTCTGTCTTCATTGTTATGACCTTACAAGATGTACCTTCCATTTGGTATCGTCTTCGGTCTGCGTTCACTGTTTTAGATCTTACCAGTTGTACCTTTCATTAGGTACCTTCGGGAGTCTGTTTCTCCATTTGTTAGACTAAACCAGGCGTGTCGTTAGTTCGATACTTTCCTGGAGTCTATGACTCTTTTGCCTTAGTCAGCAGTCCTCACTGCTGAGGCATATGTTATTCCCTGATGCCTCTGCTTTCTTTAATAATCAAATTTAGTATTTTGATATTATTAGCAATTAAGGGAAACTTCTTCTTACCACATTACACTGACCAGTCTTGGTAGAAGGCTGCTTTATTTAAAGAAAATATAGGATTTTCTGGAAGGAACTCTAATACACTGAAATCTCTTAAACTATCACTTTATTAAGTTATTTGAATTAAGTGTCACTAAATGCTGATGAACTCACCAGCATTTGTAAAAATGCTGATACTCGCTTTTCAAATAACTTGTATTCTCAGGTTAGCATTAGACAGGTACATCCCCGGAGCTGTTGATGAAGATAGCTTTGTACCATGTTGTATTTATTCTATTACTTGTATTACTTTAAATTGTTGTAATGTAACCTTGTAAAACTATTATTATTAGTGCAATGTTTTGTTGTACTTGATTTACTATAATGCATGTGTTGTGATACTTGACATGACGTCATCCACCCCAGAATGTTTCCGCCGTTCCGGTTTTGAGGTGCGACAACTGCAACAATCAGAGATTCCAGAATGGAAGTGGGAGCGGATCACTATGGATTTCATAACCAAGTTGCCCAAGACAACGGGTGGACTTGATACCATATGGGTCATCGTCGATAGATTGACCAAGTCTGCACACTTCCTGCCAATCAAAGAAACCGACAAGATGGAGAAACTTACACTACTAGAAAAAAGGCCTTTTACGATGCTCATTGCGCGTCGTAAAAGGCTCAGACGACGCGCAAATGCGTGTCAAGGAAGGCCCTGTCATAAAGACAGACGATGCGCTTTTGCGCGTCATCTATAGACGACGCGCATTTACGATGCTCATTTACGACGCGCAATTACGACGCGTGTTTACGAAACGCAATGCGTATCAAGGAAGGCCCTGTCATAAAGGAAGATGACACGCATTCGCGTGTCGTAACCTTACGACGCGCGTGTTAATGACACGCAATGCGTATCAAGAAAGCCCTGTCAAGAAAGGTCATGTCATAAATGAAGATGACACACATTTTTGCGTATCGTAAATTTAAATGTTTTAAAAAAATAAATTTATATATTTATTTATTTTTAAATTAAATTTGCATTTAATTTCTCATAATAGAAATAAAATACCATATACAAAAAATACAATCCATTGCATAATATAAAATAAAATTTCATACTCAAAAAATAAAATAAATTACACAAATTGTAATGTCATACAAAGAATCATTCAAATGTTAAACAATAGTAATACATTGCTAACATGGGTTATACATTCCTATAAAACTAACAAATATTCATACAACTCTGTTTCTTACTGGAAAGGAATGTCAAACATGATTACAAGTCTCCCTTAATCTTGATTACTCACCTGCTTAAGTAGAACGTTGTTGTTGAGAAGGTTACCTAGCAACAGAGAAAAACACAACACCTCTCCCACAATCACAACATCATTTACAGAGAAAGGGTTGTCAATTACTTTCATTAAGACTTTCATTCATTCACAAAAATATTAAATAAAAGGGTGAAACAGTAACTTACTTTTGATAAGTTGATCTCCCTTAGAGCAAACACAGCTAAAGCATTGAACAAGACCCTATTTCCCTCTTCTTTTAAAGTTTCCAGAATGTTTAGAATGCTCTCCTTACCCTGTTATTTCAAGTGTCAGGGCAAAAAAAATTCTTACTTTTGGTTCCCTATCAGATGCAGCATCAAGAACAGAGAACATGATCTCACCAAACATAATCAATAATCAGATTGAATTATATATTATGAGTAAGTAATAAAGTACATGTAACACAATAAAGTATTATTAAGGAACTTATGATTTCAAATATTATTTTTTACACTCAAATGCCAAAATATTTTATGTTATTCTTCTACAAGTTGAGAACCAACTCAAACATGAAAGATAATAGTCCATCTGGCAGCTTTTGATGACATGGCAAATGAAATTTCTCAGAGATAGAATAATACCTGTACTATTAAAATGATGGCAACCACAACAGGTGGTCCAATAACTACAGCCAAAAACATGCCTCTAATCATGTCTGGAAAGAAAAGAAAGATTGTTTGCTGCAATCATAAATCCTATGTGTTACAAACTTATATCCAAATTTAAATTAAATAAAAAGAGAAAACTATAAAAACAAATTATATCCAAGGTAATACACCATACAACAAAATAGCAGAGTCCATCAGTATTGTTACAAACCCATGAAGGAAGTGGAAGTTACTGGAAAAAAAACATATGATTTGAGGCCTGTTCTCCATTCTTCCTAATAAGATAAATTGAGAAGCATTTTTCAAAAAAAGACCATTTTCTTAATTATTAGAACACATTAGGAAAGCTTTATACTCTTTGATTTAAGAAGCTAAGTAAACTATAAGAAATCCACAACAAAAAGAAACTATAAGAAATCCACAACAAAAAGATTTAAAACTTACTTTTCCAGTAAGAAGAGGAGTATCAGCAACAAGCTTGAAAGCAACAGGCCTTGGAGTATGCACACGCCAAGCCTGCAAATAAAAATTGCATCAAGTATAAAAGAGAACAGGGAAACTGATATTAAAAACAAGAACTTTGATCATTAGAAAAAAAAAGAGAGAAAAATAGAGAGGGAAGAAATGGAATGGAATGACTCATTCCATTCCATTCCATTCTATATTCCAACCTTTACCTTGTTTTCTTATCATTATCAGTTGTATCTGCACCTCTTTCATTTCCTGCAAGATTAAAAAATGAAGAATGGCATGTGATCGTGAAGATTCCTCATTTGCATCTGTTGTCCTTGTGATTGTAAATTAGTAAAAGCATAATATAAAAAACTGAAGTAGAGAAGTGACTTCTGTACTTGATAATATATTCCTCATTTAGGCAAAACGGCTTGAAGAATGCGACATGCAGCAGCTTGCAACATAGGTTCCCTGTCGCTTTCAAATAAGGTTTCCAACAACTGCTTGCATTTTAGTTTGTTCAGCTTTGTTTTTACTTCCTCCATATTAGAAGATCAATTTGGCTTACACAACACGTATAATCTGGAGGAAAGGTTAAGTCCATCTGCAACAACCTGTTCTTCAATAGGAGTAACTTGACCAATGCAACGTTTTTTCCAAGATCCTGAAACCCAAGAACTGCTACCAAGCACACGTGCCTCCATGTCCAGTAATGCATCCATTTTCTCCTTCCAACCAAATTCATCCTTTACTCTACCATAAATTTCTAAAGTGTCTATTCTTGGTAAAGTTGATCTGTTGAAAGTTGTTCCTATGGAGATTGTAATTTCTTCATCAGCTAGAAGGGATTCTGCAACTGTAAATGGGATGTCATACCATGACCTCATGCCTTCGTCTAGTTTTATAACTCTTTGGAAAATTGTTATCTCAGAGGGTATATGGTTTGCTAATGTGTTCCCCACATGGACACGAAATCCAACCATTACTATGTTTGGATTCGAATTGGAAACTGTTACCTGGAATGGGAAAACACAAGGTATCAATCATGAATCAATACAAATAATTCAGGGGCTGTTTCTTTTTTCTTTTATTTTCCCATCAAGTCTTGTATGGTAAAGTGGTTGAATTGTTAGCAACTATAAAACAGCCCCTAATACCAAATGACCATTTTACCCTTACATCCCAACAAAAAATTTCATAATCATCATCAATTTTAACATGAGAGAAGTTGGTGGAAAAAATATTAAGGGCAAGTAGGAGAAGGTTTGGTGTTTTGATACACTAAGCTGTCCAGATCAAGTGGTTAACCAAGAAAGCCCATCAAGTCAAACAAAAAAAGTAAAACATAAATAGCATTGTAACAAAGCATACCTTGAACCCTGTAGGCGTAGGACTTTCAAGAAATCCTTCTTCTATGGACCAAATCCAGGTCAAGGAATTTCTTCTGTATATCTGGATTGAAATTAGGGCATGTGTCTCCAGAAAAAAGATCAACAAAGAAAGTAAGGACCTTCACATTAACCGATTCAGAGTTGCAATTATCCAATGCATCGAAAAAGACCAAAATATCCCCACACTGAGAGCCAAATCTGTCATCAAGTTCTTTTGAAAGATCTCCATCAGACATGAAAAACTTTAGCAATTGTGCCCTTGAAGGATCCTTTATGATGCTGTCTATGATATCAAAAGATTTGGAGACTCCACATTCGTTAACAGAGCTATCAACACTTTCTCTGCTCTATCTTTATGCTTGTTTTTTCTTTTCTTTCCCATTTTCTGATCAGTCTTGTCGCGAACACACAAACACCATCTAGGAAGTAGGACGATGTGAACGATGGTGGAGGTGATAGCCGACGGTGGCTGGTTTAGGGCTTTTAGAGAATATGAGATATTTTTGTTCAGAGAGAGAAAGTGGAATCGATGAGAATGTAAGCTTCGGTTACTTTATACTAGAGATGGCATCATGCTTGAAGGTAGTTACAATCAGCATTGATTTTGGGTGGATGGTAGGTGAAGTGGGGATGTCGATCGACGCTTCAGAGTAAAATCAGAGATTGGAGAGCCCAAGAGGAGAGAATGAGAGCCCAAGAGTAAAATCAAAAAAGTATGGAGTGTGACTGAGTTTTTAGGGTTCGATGGTAGTGATGATGGCTTAGGGTTTGCAGATGGTGGTGTGGGGGTCGTCGGTTGCTTTACAGAGAGATATGAAGTCGAGACGAAAAGACGAGATTGACCCATCTGGTAATAAACGGACTCGGGAAGCTGAACAAAATGACCCGAGATTGACCCATCTAGTAACAACGCTATTGATGCCATTCCTTCCATTTTCGACTGTTCATCCTCCACTTCCTCTACTGCTACTTCTTCACCATCTTCTATTTTTTTCTGTATTTAGAATTGAGAGTATAATTAGGGCTTTTACTAACAATTTCAACATCGAGTGGGAGATATGGTGGTTCCAGTAGGTAGAAGTGAGGGAAGAAGTAGGTAGCAGTCAATGTCGGGAGGGGGAAGGAAGGAGCGTCCATAATTTGGGCAAGAGGGAAAGGAGAAAAAAAAGGAATTAAGGCGGGATTTTTAATTTTTTCAGAATTTCATTTCCCCCTACTGTTAAAGGATGGAACGCGCGTTCCATTAAAAATTATAAAGCGACATCCTTAGACGACGCGCATTTTATTATAGGTGCCCTCCGTGTTTTTTTTAGACACTGATTTAAGGGCGCGCAATAATGCGTATCTTCTATCCTTCAATTTTTTGAAGAGATGACATTTTTCTAATGTCACTCTCCTTTGCGTAACATAGATCAATGAGCGTCATATTTTGCGCGTCATAAAAGGCCTTTTTTTCTAGTAGTGTTACGAGAACATACATTAGGGAAATCGTACGGCTACATGGTGTGCCTATATCCATTATCTCCGATAGAGATAGTAGGTTCACCTCAAGATTCTGGCAATCACTACAACATTCCCTAGGAACAAGACTAGACATGAGCACAACCTACCATCCACAGACTGACGGACAGAGTGAGAGGACAATCCAGACTTTAGAAGATATGTTGAGTGCTTGTGTAATTGACTTTGGAAAAGCATGGGATACCCATTTACCCCTCGTCGAATTTTCCTACAACAATAGAGTTCACACGAGCATAAAGGCAGCACCATTTGAAGCCCTCTACGGCCGAAAGTGCAGATCCCCTCTGTGTTGGGCTGAGGTGGGTGATACCCAATTAGCCAGGGGACAAGCTTCTGATAGTAGTCTCACCGGTCCAGAGATCATTCGGGAAACGACAGAGAAAATCGTTCAGATCCGTGAACGATTGAAAGCCTCTAGAGACCGACAGAAGAGCTACGTTGATAAGCGAAGAAAACCTTTGGAATTTCAGGTGGGAGACCGAGTCCTTCTCAAAGTCTCACCCTGGAAGGGCTTGATACGCTTCGGTAAGCGTGGGAAGCTTAATCCGAGGTACATAGGGCCTTTCAAGATTCTCGCAAGAGTCGGCCCCATAGCTTAAAACTCGATCTACCTGACACACTTCGTAACGTACATTCTACATTCCACGTATCTAACTTTAAAAAGTGTCGGTCCGACGAGACTCTCGTAATCCCACTCGACGAGATCGAGATCAACGAGAGCCTCAACTTCGTGGAAGAACCTATAGAGATCATGGACCGTGAGGTCAAGCAGACGAAACAAAGCCGTATCCCTATCGTGAAGGTTCGCTGGAACGCCAAGCGAGGACCGGAATTCACTTGGGAATGCGAGGATCAGATGAAACTGAAATACACTCATCTTTTCGCTTAGTTATTTGTAACTTCTTATTTGCTCAAATTCTAATTTCGGGACGAAATTCCTTCTAACGGGGGGATGATGTGACAACCCGGAATTTCCATTCTATACAAACAGTATCACTTCAATAGAAGTTATAACAGTCATAGTCGATTTTCAGACTTTTCGTATAAGTTGGAGTAATTTAGGGTTTACACTTCAGTAAACATCAGGAGAGTGGTTGCGCTACGGTTTTGTGCAACACTGTTATTCCAACACTCGGATATATTAGAAATCATTTCCGGGATCAAAAATTTTATCTGTCAAAATATTTCAAGACTATAAATAGATTTCTGAACTAAATTCATTCATTATTCACATTTCCAACTAGAGAAAAGCCACTTTCTCTCTCACGGATCTTCGGGTTTTCATCCCAAATAGTGAGTCTACTTTCCTAAATGTGTTTTAATGCTTGTTATATGCTTTATAACATTGTTTACATGTCAAAAATACAAGATCCGGGAGTTTACCGCCCAAGAACGTTCTTGGGGAGTAAACTCCAAAATGGAGCTTTAAGGCTACCTAGTCCCAATTTTTTGTTAGGCAACTAGTTAAGGACTTAATGTAGAGTCATTAGAGGCTAGAACACAATCAAGAACACATAGTTTAAGGAGTTCACAGCCCAAGAAATTCTTAGGCCGTAAACTCCAATTTCAAGGGACAAAATGTGCCCTAAATCACCCCTAAGGCTTTAGACTTTAACTCTCTATTACTTGTGACTTGGAAGGGGAGTAAAACACATCAAAATCATCCCAAAACGGTAGTTTATGGCCAAGAAATACTCTTGGGCTGTAAACTCCAAGTAAAGGCACAAAAGTGTACCTAAAGTCCCCTTTAGCCTTAAACAAAAACCTAGAAGCTATCCTACTTGTGCAAGAGGCCTAAAAGAATTAAAACAAAGACCCCATAGGATTTTACAGCCGTAAACTCTAGGGGATATGGTATTTTGGCCGTAAACTCCTCAAAGGAGCATTCTAGGGCCTTAAACTACTTCAAGGATTAATCTACCAATGCTAGGCTTATTTTAGGATTCATTTAGCACCTTAAAACACCCAAAACCACAAATAGTGGATTTCACGGTAGTAAAATCAAGGAGTTTATGACCGTAAACTCCAAGGGTGGGCTTTGTTGGGTGGTAAACTCTTATACAAGGTCCTTGGAAGCTTTTCAATGCTTTTGCCTTGTCCCATATCAACTTAGATGCAACCATTAAGACCTATAACACTTATACAAAGTGTTTACATGTTCCTAAGTGTCCCAACTTATTTCATTAAGTTATTAATTGACTAATTAGTTATATATATGATCATTATATGATAACTAGGCTCGTGCGTGTGAACAAGTCTCCGTTTTCCACCTAGCACGGTACTCGATACTTCAATCCAATCCACTCACCACAAGTGAGTTCATACCCCTTAATTTAACCTTTGAAATGCTTTTAAATGTTTTAAATACTTTATGGGGGGGATACAAGTTAAACACTTACAGTTATTACATCAATCACATGTGATTACATTAATCACATGTGATTAATAACTAGAAAACCAATGATTTTATCACTGTTCAAACTGTTTATCAAACTGTTTTACTTCAAAATGTTTTACAAACTCTTTTACTTATCAAATGCTCTTATTAAACTTTGTTTTACTTCTTATAAATTGCATGCCCATATATGTATAGATATATAAGAAATGTTTAAAGGGCTTAGGAAGGCTATCCACCCTATTTCCTTTCGCGCATTGAGATGTGGTCTGGTGGGATTTCGGGTAACCGTCCGAAGGTCGTTTCAATATTAATTATATATCAAATATACATGTATAGACATAAAAGTACTTCCATATTCATACTTATCAGTACATCATCAGTAAGTTACCATCAGGGTAACATAGGATCATACTAGTACAATTTCTAGATAAATGAGTTAATTCATTCATGAGTTAATACTTATTACTACGAGTCCTTATACAACTATACTAGAAAGAAAACATATACAACTATTCTAGAAAGAGAACATATGAAACTATACAAGAAAGAGAACATATACAACTATACTAGAGGAAGAACATATACAACTATACTAGAACAGTTCATTTCGTTACATATACAAGAATATGTTAACAATTGTGATCCACTGTATCGGAGCATGCCTTAATTGTCATGGCCCGAGTTGTAGCCAAAATTCTCTTGGAGGGAGAGTGTGAGTTTGCATATAGATCTATACTAGATTGACTATCCTACACCTTGCTGCTAGCTACAGCCGGACCTGCACGTCTGCGGGTGCCAAACTTTATTCCGTGAGTACGACCATTCATATGTCGTTGTTACCAGTCGATAGTATGGTGCAATTTATCACATGATGCCTTAATATAAATCGGTTTAAGGTAGTTAGTACAGCACTAGTTCCTATAATACAAAACTACAGTACTATAATGATTTACCCATTTCATATTTTAGTGACAACCTCACTTAAACATTAATGTACAAACTATATTTTGTTAAATGATAGTTACACTTGGGAAATTACACACTTTTACAACAGACGAGCATACAAAACAGTTATGCCTTGGTAGAAGGCTACTTTAATAGAAAATATAGGTTTTTCTGAGAGATTCAAACTTTTACAAACACTTACAAACCTTTACATACATTTTACAAACTTATACTTGATACATGTTCAAAAATTTTTGGATGACAAATACCGACACTAAAATACTTATGAACTCACCAGCTTAATGCTGATAAACTCTTTCAAAATAACTTGTATTCTCAGGTCATCGGTAGACAGGTACCGAGGCCAGCTTTTGAGAAGATGGAGCGCATCCAAGACTCATCTTATTATTTTGATATACATTATTTTTGGTGTCTATACTGTACAGAACACGCTTGTATTAAAATTATATATTTAATGCAATGGATGATGTTGTTTGCTTATTTACATTTACTGTGTTGTGATACTTTACATGACGTCCTCCGCCCCAGAACGTTTCCGCCGTTCTTGGTTTTGGGGTGTGACATAATCCAACATGGTCATCTTTTGGCTAAGAGCTTTGTAATCTCTTCTTTTCATTATATTATTGGTAGATTCCTCATTCAAGTTACTTTCATTTACATTAAGACTTGGGGAAAAATTGGTTCAAGAAAACCTTCAAAAGAATTGTTACCCTCGTCTTCATCACTTGTAACATATTCATCATCACAACCAGATTGATTACCATCATTTTGTACTATAGTGGATGGTAATGTCTCGGAAGTAGGAATAAGATTCACCAGAGTTGGAGGTGTGATGGTTGAGGTTGTTTGTTGAGATATGGTTGATGCGACAATAGAAGCAGTAATGACTGGAGTTGGAATTTGTTGGTTTTGATTAGTAAAGTCGTTTGAGGTGTAGGAATTATTGGAAGAACATGTGATTGTTATTGAGAATGGTTAATGATGGGTTGACTAAGAATATTTTTAAACAATTATGTATATGTTGGAGTTGTGAGAGGAGTAGTATCTATAGTAGGAACAAATGATACCCGAGGAATCTCCAAAATATTGAGATTTGTAGTAGGAGTAGGTATTGTAGTGGTAACGGGTTGCTCTATTGTTTGTGGTTGTTTTGATGAGCTTGAAGTGTCATCATCATTTTGAACATTATCGTCTAAATGATCATCACTGACAACATTCTCCTCCATATCCTCATCAACAACACAAACTTTTGCCTTCTTCTTAAGTTTACTTTGTGTATTAGGCTTCATAGTGACAGCATCTTCCACAAATTTTGCTTTAAGTTTACCCATATCCCTTTGTAATATAGCTCCAACATCGAGAACAGCTTGCAATGATGTAGGGATATTCCCTTCACCAAATTTAGGAATGGGCCTATACATATTGATAAATTCAGTGTTTGAAGGAACTTTAGCAAGCATGGCCTCTAGAATTGAACCAATATGAGAGAAGATAGTACCATCCGTAGTTACAAAGGTACCAACATTCATTCTTTAAATTACAACCATACGAACATCCTCTATCTCTAGAAATCAATAATGATCGCTAGCATTTTTTACCATAATTGACCAAAATCTTGTACACGAAATCTATGAATCTTTTGTACTAGAAGTTAAAATTTGAATGAATTGAACCCAAAGAACTTGACCTAGGTCAATCTTCTGATCAGTGTATATCCCATACATCAGTATATGAAACAACTTACTCATATTTTACGATCCAAATGCTCTTTCAAATAAACATTTGAAGAATATCGTAAACATGTCATTACATACAATAGGTACACATGACATAGACAACTTGGATAACTGAGTCAAAACTGGATGATATCCTATCTAGTGCAAAACCCTAAGCATATTAGTAGATAGAATGTGTTCAGGATTCAAGTAATCATATCCAATAAATAAATCTAGCAATTTGCAGAACTTTGATTTTGAAATTGACATCTTGTGACCTTCAATGTCAAAGCTCATCACATCCAATGACTTATTATAACTATCGAGTATGCCAAGATCAAGGTAGATAAAGGTACTTCTTCATGATGAACAAGTTCTTTCTTCAAAATTGAATGATTAAGATATTTAATTAGAGATTGAACAATCGTTAAATACTTTGAAGCATCCAAATCAACGATAATACTATGATTTTGCTTCACAGTGAGAGTAACAGACGATGCATTCTGATCCATAAGTGAATCATGATTGGTGGTAGAGTCGACTGTTAATTGATTGAGGATGAAAACGAAAAACACTTGAAGATCAAAGTATTGCTGAAAATTATTGAGAATTTGATTGAGAGTTTTGGGAGCGTAAAAAAGTAACTGGATATAGTTTTGGGTATTTACACGGATAGAAATTCCAAACAGTTGCAGTTTAAATTTGAAAGGCCCAGAATAAGTGGTGAGAGAAACTGCCAAATCCATGAATTAATGGACCGTCCAATCCCTCGTTAGCACATCATTCTTGTAACCATGCACATCATCATAGTAGAATGATTCAGTAATACTCTACCAACATATCATTCCTGTAACATAAATGATATGACCTTATTTAATGTAACATACATGTTCTGAAATTGTGTATTGTTATTATTAAAAGTGAAAAAAATTGAGTGTTGAATTCTAACAAGATGGTTTTTACTAGAAATGAAGTAAAACTATGTTTAGAATCACTCAGAAAATATTGGAAGTCTTATGAAATCCCAATTAAAAGCCAAATAGTGAAATTTAGCAAAAATGTAAAATTTGAAATAAGTAAAATTTTATTATTTGATGTTGTAAATCATCTCGTTAGAAACTTATAGGCGAAAACCTCGTCGAAATTCGAGTTATAACGAAGAAGTTATGACCAACCGAAGATCCGCGACAAAACCGACAGGCCCCGAATGGCGTAAAAAGTGAGTTTTTGATAAACTAATTTGTAGCCTTATAAATCTAAATGAAGTAGTATTCGTTAAACCAAGAAATTTGATAAAAAGAACGCCAAAATCTGACTTCGTATGAGGAAGTTATGATTTTTCGGAGTTTCAACTTAGCAGTAGACAACTAAAACTTGAATTTTAGATCGAGCGATATTTGACCGATACATCCTAAACGAGAATCGAAGGTCTCGTCATATGTAGTACAACAGTAAAATGTCTGACGAAAACGGATGTCGGATGAAGAAGTTATGAATTTTTAACGGATTTTCCTATCTCGGTCTGTTAAAAATAATAATATTAATAATAAAGTCAAAATTAGCTGACGAAGTCTAAACGAAAGTTGTAGAGCGTAATTTTAGCTACACGTGCATATAAATAACGTCAGAAACGGAGCTCGTATGCGAAAGGTATGGATTTTAGAAGTTTGGGGCCCGAAAACCGAGAAATCTCACACGAATAGTACCGGCCACGTCACCTCGCACGAAGCAGGTGTGTCACCGGAGACGTGGCCCAACCTGAGAAGCGACGCTTGCCCCAATCCGAAGCAGCCACGTTCCCCTGACGCGCCTTCGCATCGCCTCCACATCCGATCCTCGCAGCAAGCCTCGTGGCCTTCGCTTCTCCTGCCGTTTGCCCCTCGTAGCTGCTGCCACCGAGCTGCTTCGCATCTGCTTCCGGACCAAGCCTCACTGGTGCAACGTAGACGCCTCCCAACCACAAATTCCGAACCCTCGCCCCTATAAATAAGAGGGTGCGAACCCTCCCGGCTAAAATTGAAAATTTTCCATTTTTCACCCCTTTTTCCATATTTTCTTTATTTTGACTTTTCCCGAAGACCCGATATCAATTTTAACAACCGAAACACATCCCGAGACCTCCGAGAAGCGCGGAAATTTCATCTTTTTGGTTTTGAAGCCCTACCTTCGCAGATCCCGGTTTTCAATTAAGCTCCTAGTTTTCAACATAGAAAGTCATATTTAAAGCCCAAATGCTGTCCAAATTACTATTTTAACCCCCGGTTAACTTAAGGTGAGTTCAATATATAGGAAAAATTGTATGTTATGTGTTATATCTGCTATGTGCTTCTCGGTGTTATTATTCTGAGTTATTTTCCCGTGTTATTTTATTCGCTATGTTTATAGCAAATATAATACCTTTGACTACGTGATCAGTGAAAGGACTTGGATTCACAGTGGTACTAGTACGTAGCCTTTGGTCATGTAGTGCATGTCTCCATAAGAGAATGACTTCTATTCTATGGCATTGGTAGAAAGTTAGATAGGAATGGTATATAGCCTCCGACCATGTAAAGCATGACTCCGTAAGGGAATGAACTCTATTCTATGTTATTGGAAAATTGTTAAACAGGGCGTGAAAACCTGAAATCTACCGAAATGCTAAACAGGGCGTGAAAACCTAAAATCTATCATATTGATAATCAGAAATTATATGTCTTCTGTGCCATTTGGGCCAAAGCTTTATTGATGCATATCAAGTATTGAAATCGTTATGTCTCATTGAAAATATATCTTTGAATAAAGTCTTTGATTGATATGAACGCTTATCACATGGTTTCACTTATGTCTTGTTGTTCCTCTTTGCTTTTGCCACATTGAAGTATATATAAGGCATAAGATTATATTGTATCTATTTATTGAATTCACTAAGCATTATCGCTTATTCCTCTCAATGTTTAACAATTGCAGGTGATGAGTATCCAATATAGTTTTATACTGCTGAAAGACTTAGAATAGTTAATACTATTTCTCTGTATTTTAATGTTCATGTATGTATATCAATAGTAGATTCCTGGGTAGACATGAAATGTAATAAAACTTAGTCGGTTTGTATCCAATCCTTTGTAATCACTTTATCAATATAAAATATTGTTTTATAAATATGCATGTAGCATGTTTTGAGGAAGTAACTTAAAAATAATATTAGAATAGTATGAGAGTTTGGGTCTTTCATAAATACGAAAGTTGGGGTCTTTCATTTAACTAGGTATTTAAGGCAATTATCTTAATATGTTTTAGTAAAAATGTTATACTTCAAGATATATAATACGTAATATGAGTTAAAATTTTCAGTTACAGTTAAAATCGGGGCTGGGATGCAAAAAGATGAGAAATGAGATGAAAAATACGCAAAAAGGATATTGCTGGAAGATTGACCTCTCGTCAGTGCTTTAGCCATATCTCATGACTTGTAAATCCGATTGAAGAGAGTCAAAATTTTCTAGAAACTAAACAAAATTTCGGACGACTTTCATGTTTATGCCAATTTCTGAGTCCCTGTTGCCACGCCATGGCAAAGACATTTCCACGGTGTAGTGACATAAGGAAATTTCGTGGATGCAAAGAAATCATATAACATGACGTGACAAGACTTTCTCCACATCGTAATGGTTTTGTAACCTATAAATAGATTCGAAAATTAAACCTAATGACATATCTTCAACCCTAATTCGGTAAAATAAACTGCAAAAGTTCTGTTTTAAGGGTCTAGAAGGCGACCGAAGGGCCGTTAAACTGATATCTAGCAAAAGTCTGAAGGATTCGAGAGCAGATTCATGTAAGGAATTATCCGGTTTTCTTTTCTGATCACAATTAGTATTGCAATTGTGTTCCCTTTGTTTTTAATTTCTGAATTTAAGTGTTAAAACCTTTTGCTTTGTGTTAAAGATTAGATAATCTTGAGATTTTTTTTTATTAAATTGCATATTTACTTTGTTTATTACTATCTAATTATTGTGTCAAGCTTGATTGAAGATACACGTGTGTTAAAAATCGTTGTTTTGTTACCTAATTATGAGTTTATGTGATTAGAAGACAATCTAGTTATATGAATGACAGTTGTTTTATTACCATAAAATAATTGTGACTAGTGTTGGATCAAAACATAGAGTTAGGTTAATAAATTTATGAACTTTAATGTTTTTCTATGTCTTAGATGACCAATCTTAGCATGATTTAATTCTAATAATGTTTAGGATTAATACAAATCAAATCTTGAATGATGCGAACTGAACAATGAATTTAGGGATAATTAATGGCACAACGATGAAACTAAAAGTCCTTAGAGTCATTAGTATTCATGTGTGGACCAAATACATGAATCAACTTAGGAATCAGTGAATAATGAATAAATGACCATTACACTAAAGTAATTATCTATGATTTTGAGATGTAATCTAATTTGAACCAAAGCACCTGAAGTGATTCATTTCTAGTCAATTTATCTAGTTAGTTTAGTAATTTATTTACTTGAACTTTCATAATCAAAACTCCCACTTTTTATTACTTTCATTTATTTAATATAACCTATAATAAAAAAATTCTAATATTAATTCAATACCGTTGCATTTGAGTTCAATACCATTGCTTATCAAAACTATACTATACTTGATCAGGTTCACTGCCTACAACGAGTGATTTAGATGCGATAGACTAGGAAATATCAATAAAAAATTAGTACATTAAAAATACACATCAAGTTTTTGGCGCCATTTTCGGGGAGCGGTTTTCAGTTAATTTAGTTTATTTGATTATTCATTATTTGTTTTTGCATT